CTGCCCCTGAATTAGTAATTTTAGGGAAATTTTGCTGTATTTGGTTATTATCTTGAATATTATTATAGATAGAGATAAACTGTAAACAGCAATAATGTTCAGCAAAGTAAGTTCTACAAATAAGTCAACATGACCAAAATGGTCAGTTGACCCCTTAAGGAGTTATTGCCCTTTTATGGTCAATTTTTAACAATTTTTCGTAAATTTTTGTTATCTTTTACAAAAATCTTCTCTGAAACTACTAGGATGAATTTAACCAAAGTTGTAAACAATAATCATTAGGGTATGTAGTTTTGAAATTGTGTCTGATGACCCTGCCCGCGAACCAAGATGGCCGACATGGCTAATAATAGTACATAGGGTAAAATGCTGTTTTTGGCTCATATATCTAAACCCAAAGCATTTCGAGCAAATCTTTCAAAACAAAATTGTTCATTAGGTCAAGATCTATTTGCCCTTAAATTTTCAGACCATTCAGGCAACCCGTTGTTGGGTTGCTGCCCCTGAATTGGTAATTTTCAGAAATTTTTTCAGCTTTTGGTTATTATCTTGAATATTATTATAGATAGAGATAAACTGTAAACAGCAATAATGTACAGCAAAGTAAGACCTACAAATAAGTCAACATGACCAAAATGGTCAATTGACCCCTTAAGGAGTTATTGCCCTTTATAATCAATTTTTAACAATTTTCATAAATTTTGTAAATTTTTACAAAATAATTTTCACTGAAACTACTGGGCCAAGTTCATTATAGATAGAGATAATTGTAAGCATCAAGAATGTTAAGTAAAGTAAGATCTACAAACACATCACCATCACCAAAACACAATTTTGTCATGAATCCATCCGTGTCCTTTGTTTAATATGCACATAGACCAAGGTGAGCGCTTTAGAGCCTCTAGTTTCATTTTTTATAATTCATTTCTGTTATGCCCCTAATTTTTGTTTTATTTTGATATTTTGTTAAATTAATGTGCATTTTAAAAATTTTGTATTAGAAAGTTTAAGTTTTCCTTCTTTTATGAAATTTAAAGGATCATTTAAATTGTCAAAAGATTATAGGATATTGATATTGACAAATTTTGTTGGAAAATATAGTTATAAATGATGATATTTCTCTCTACTTTTATCAAGTAACAATTTGTCATTTTACTTAAGGGCAGTTCCATAAAAACATATATGGGACCCAGGGAAGGCAACTTAAATTTGCCACTATGGGTGGGTGCGAAATATTGTGTTTAACGGGGTTAAAATTACGCTTCTATGGGTGGTCACTCCGTTTTCAAAGTGCCTTCCCTGAGTACCATGTATGTTTTAATGGAACAGCCCTAACTATTGAAAAACTGTTCTTCCTTTGACTTTAGTCATCTGATGATACCTTAAATCTATTTATAAATGTTCATTAATTATGTGTTGAAGAAAATTGGATATCATTTTGTAATTTTAATATAGGTTTTGCTTTTATAGTTGTAATGTACTATTTTCTTCAGTTGATTATAAAGATTCGTTCAATACCACTGAAATGTTTGAGGCATTTAGTGAGAAAACTAAGACTCTTCTGAAAGAAGGTTTGAAAGCAACAAAAGACAAATTGATTGAACAGCTAGGTTTAGATCAGGTATAAGTTTTATTATATTAGTAAGTCATGAAGTTATATACAAATATTTGTGTTACTTGTATTGTTTCTGATATACACCCATCATCTTTTATTCACATAAAAATGTATTTCCAACATGTATCCAGTGCTATGAATCATGAAACTCACTGTAAAGAAACACAAAGGATCATTAATCATACTGAAAATTATGGTAATTTTATCTTTTGCAGGTAGTGTATAAAAAATCATAGTCAGAGAACTGAGAATGCTTTAATTTCTTCCTTTATTTTAGCATATTGTTTCAGTTTGTTAAATTTTACTTCAATTTTGGATGGAGAGTTGTGATAGTATTGTAAGGAATTAATAAAAAAGGTGGACCCTGGAGTTAATGTCATTGAAACAGCAACCAATTATAAGACAAAAGTTACCAAATAAGAAGTTTCTTTTTAAAGTATGGGTGACTCAATACGAACACAACACAATTTGAAAACAAGAATCAGATCATACTGCTTGAACTTAAATTTTACAATTTTGTTTACAAATTGAACAAGATTGAAAATTTGGGCACTGTTATCTTAATGTACTCGTTATTAATAGAAAATGCAAAGATTTTTAACTGACACCTAAATGATAAATGTTCATGTTTAAATCTTCTAATAGATAAAGGATTACTTGACAACAACTGAACCTTGCTCTAGACCAAGTAATATGACAAATACACAAATAATGGATGAACTAAATGTAAGAGGTCTTGATGATACAGGTACAAGAGAAGGAAATATTCAACTATTGGTTGATGATGACAGAAGTAAGTTTTTTTATATAACCTGGCCCAAAGGGCTAAGTGAGCTTTTCTCATCACTTGGCCTCCGTCGTCGTCATCCGTCGTTGTTATTCTTTAGTTTTTACAAATATCTTCTCCTCTGAAACTACTGGGCCAAATTTAGTCAAACTTTTTTCAGGATTTATTGCCCTTAAATGAGAATTTTTTACCATTTTTTTTTGCATTTTTGACTAATATCTTTACAATTATAATAAATAGAGAGAAACTTTGAAAAGCAAAAATGATCAGCAAGACAAGATCTACAATTAACTGCTGAATTTGTCAGACAACTCCTTGTTGGAATTTTTGCCTTTTAATGATGATTTGTACCAAATATTGCATTTTAGCCTTTATATCTCAAAAATAATAATAGATAGGTAGAAATTAAAATAAACAAAAGTAATTGGCAAGACAATTTCTACAATTAGGTCATATGAAGGAAATCTTATTAGAGTTTTTGTCCTTTCATGTCAATTTCGTTTTACCTATTTTTTTTGCATTTTAGCCTTATATCTTGAAAATTATCAGAGATAAATAGAAACTTACATAAGCAAAAATGATCAGCAAAATAAGATTACAAATAAGTAAAATGACAGAAATTCTTTCTGTATTATAGTTATTGCTCTTTAATGATGGTTTTTGTGTATTAACTTAAAAACTATAATAGATAGACACTTTTATTAGCAAAAATTATCATCAAGACAAGATCTTCAAATAGGTCAACAAGGCTGAAATCATCAATTGACTGGTTTTTGGAGTGCTTGCTCTTTAATGGCGATATTTACCAATTTTTGGGGTTTTTGCCTGTTATCTTGAAAACTACGGAAGAAAGATAGACATAATAAATAGCAAAGATGATCAGCAAGACGAAATCTTTAAGTAACTCAAATTTTGCCAAAATCAGTAGTAGACACCTTATCAGAGTGATTGCCTTAATTGACAATTTTTTTTTCTTTTACCCTCTTTTATGTTTTGGGCAAAAATTAAAGAAGAAAGAAAGAAACTGTAAACAGAAAAAATTTCAGAAATACAAGATTAAGAAAAAATAAGAGATATCAATGTTAAGGTTTAAAGGCCAGTTTCTCAAGTTACTAACAGTAATAGGTCAATTTTTTTGGTCAAAAACATTGTAAGGTGCACATGTCTGTCTGTCAGGGTTCACCTGATTTTGACAACATAAACACAATTTATTTAACAGTTTTGAATTTTCTTGATAAGGTTAATTAGAGTAATAGGCCAGGTATCAATATATTTAAATCTTAAAGGTGGATGTACTTGTCTTAAAGCATTCATAGTGTCCAAATTATGTTCATGGTTTATATTTTTGTCCCCCGCGTAAGGCGTTGCGTGTGTCCATGTGTCCCTGTGTCCGTCTGGTCTTGTTAGCGCTCTCACAGGTACAGATTTTTATAAAACTTATACTTTAGGTTAATATCAGCAATAACTCGAACAAGTTCTTCAATGGTGGACGATCAACCTTTTTAGCTCACCTGGCCCGAAGGGCCAAGTGAGCTTTTCTCATCACTTGGCGTCCGGCGTCGTCCGGCGTCGGCGTTGACTTTTTACATTTTGAACTTCTTCTAGAGAACCACTGAATGGAATGAAACCAAACATGGCATGAATGTTTCTTATGAGGTGCTGACCAAGTGTTGTTACTTTGTAGCCGATCCATCATCCAAGATGGCCGGCAGCGGGGCACTTAGTTTAACATAGGACCCTATGGGAAATGCATACAAATGACTTCTTTTAGAGAACCACTGAATGGAATGAAACCAAACATGGCATGAATGTTCCCTATGAGGTGCTGACCAAGTGTTGTTACTTTGTAGCCGATCCATCATCCAAGATGGCCGCCAGCAGGGAACTTAGTTTAACATAGGACCTTATGGGAAATACATACAAATGTCTTCTTTTAGAGAACCACTGAATGGAATGACACCAAACATGGCATGAATGTTACTTATGAGGTGCTGACCAAGTGTTGTTACTTTGTAGCCGATCCATCATTTAAGATGGCCGCCAGCGGGGGACTTAGTTTAACATAGGACCCTATGGGAAATACATAAAACTGTCTTTTTTAGCTCACCTGGCCCGAAGGGCCAAGTGAGCTTTTCTCATCACTTGGCGTCCGTCGTCCGTCGTCCGGCGTCGTCTGTCGTCGGCGTTAACTTTTTACATTTTGAACTTCTTCTAGAGAACCACTGAATGGAATGAAACCAAACATGGCATGAATGTTCCTTATGAGGTGCTGACCAAGTGTTGTTACTTTGTAGCCAATCCATCATCCAAGATGGCCGCCAGCGGGGGACTTAGTTTAACATAGGACCCTATAGGAAATGCATACAAATGACTTCTTTTAGAGAACCACTGAATGGAATGAAACCAAACATGGCATGAATGTTCCTTATGAGGTGCTCACCAAGTGTTGTTACTTTGTAGCTGATCCATCATCCAAGATGGCCGCCAGCAGGGGACTTAGTTTAACATAGGACCCTATGGGAAATGCATACAAATGACTTCTTTTAGAGAACCACTGAATGGAATAAAACCAAACATGGCATGAATGTTCCTTATGAGGTGCTGACCATGTGTTGTTACTTTGTAGCCGATCCATCATCCAAGATGGCCGCCATCGGGGTTCTTAGTTTAACATAGGACCCTATGGGAAATACATACAATTGTCTTCTTTTAGAGAACCACTGAATGGAATGAAACCAAACATGGCATGAATGTTCCTTATGAGGTGCTGACCAAGTGTTGTTACTTTGTAGCCGATCCATCATCCAAGATGGCCGCCAGCGGGGGACTTAGTTTAACATAGGACCCTATGGGAAATACATACAAATGTCTTCTTTTAGAGAACCACTGAATGGAATGGAACCAAACATGGCATGAATGTTCCTTATGAGTTGCTGACCAAGTGTTGTTACTTTGCAGTCGGTCCATCATCCAAGATGGCCGCCAGCGGGGGACTTAGTTTAACATTGGACCTATGGGAAATACATACAAATGTCTTCTTTTAGAGAACCACTGAATGGAATGAAACCAAACATGGCATGAATGTTCCTTATGAGGTGCTCACCAAGTGTTGTTACTTTGTAGCTGATCCATCATCCAAGATGGCCGCCAGCAGGGGACTTAGTTTAACATAGGACCCTATGGGAAATGCATACAAATGACTTCTTTTAGAGAACCACTGAATGGAATAAAACCAAACATGGCATGAATGTTCCTTATGAGGTGCTGACCATGTGTTGTTACTTTGTAGCCGATCCATCATCCAAGATGGCCGCCATCGGGGTTCTTAGTTTAACATAGGACCCTATGGGAAATACATACAATTGTCTTCTTTTAGAGAACCACTGAATGGAATGAAACCAAACATGGCATGAATGTTCCTTATGAGGTGCTGACCAAGTGTTGTTACTTTGTAGCCGATCCATCATCCAAGATGGCCGCCAGCGGGGGACTTAGTTTAACATAGGACCCTATGGGAAATACATACAAATGTCTTCTTTTAGAGAACCACTGAATGGAATGGAACCAAACATGGCATGAATGTTCCTTATGAGTTGCTGACCAAGTGTTGTTACTTTGCAGTCGGTCCATCATCCAAGATGGCCGCCAGCGGGGGACTTAGTTTAACATTGGACCTATGGGAAATACATACAAATGTCTTCTTTTAGAGAACCACTGAATGGAATGAAACCAAACATGGCATGAATCTACCTTATGAGATGCTGACCAAGTGTTGTTACTTTGTAGCCGATCCATCATCCAAGATGGCCGCCAGCGGGGGACTTAGTTTTACATAGGACCCTTTGGGAAATACATAAAAATGTCTTCTTTTAGAGAACGAATAAATGGAATGGAACCAAACATGGCATGAATGTTCCTTATGAGATGTTGACTAAGTGTTATAATTTTGCAGCCGATCCATCATCCAAGATGGCAGACAGCGGGGTTCTTAGTTTAACATAGGACCCTATGGGAAATACATACAATTGTCTTCTTTTAGAGAACCAATGAATGGAATTGAACCAAACATTGCATGAATGTTTCTTATGAGTTGCTGACCAAGTGTTGTTACTTTGCAGTCAATCCATCATCCAAGATGGCTGTTAGGGGGGGGGGGGGGGGGGGGCTTAGTTTAACATAGGACCCTATGGGAAATACATACAAATGTCTTCTTTTAGAGTACCACTGAATGGAATGAAACCAAACATGGGATAAATGTTCCTTATGAAGTGCTGACCAAGTGTTGCTACTTTGTTGCTGATTTACTGTTCAAGATGGCCACCAGGATATTTAATTAAATAACGGGACCAATATTAATCAAAATTTGGCCTCAATCATTATTTGGGTATCTGTTATGATTTTTATCTATCTTTACATGATTTCTAAAACCAAAGTAGAGTCAGGTGAGCGACACAGGCTCTTGAGAGCCTCTAGTTTAGAGAACCAATAAATGGAATGGAACAAAACATGGCATGAATGTTCCTAATGAGATGCTGACCAAGTGTTGTTACTTTGCAGTCGGTCCATCATCCAAGATGGCCCCCAGCGGGGGACTTAGTTTAACATAGGACCCTATGGGAAATACATACAAATGTCTTCTTTTAGAGAACCACTGAATGGAATGAAACAAAACATGGCATGAATGTTCCTTATGAGATGCTGACCAAGTGTTGTTACTTTGTAGCCGATCCATCATCCAAGATGGCCGCCAGCGGGGAACTTAGTTTTAACATAGGACCCTATGGGAAATACATACAAAAGTTTTCTTTTAGAGAACCACTGAATTGAATGAAACCAAACATGGCATGAATGTTCCTTATGAGGTGCTGACCAAGTGTTGTTACTTCGCAGTCGGTCCATCATCCATTATAGCCGACAGCAGGGGACTTTGTTTAACATAGGACCCTATGGGAAATACATACAAATGTCTTCTTTTAGAGAACCACTGAATGGAATGAAACAAAACATGGCATGAATGTTCCTTATAAGGTGCTGACCAAGTGTTGTTACTTTGCAGTCGGTCCATCATCCAAGATGGCCAACAGCAGGGGACTTAGTTTTAACATAGGACCCTATGGGAAATACATACAAATGTCTTCTTTTAGAGAACCACTGAATGGATGAAACAAAACATGGCATGAATGTTCCTTATAAGGTGCTGACCAAGTGTTGTAACTTTGCAGTCGGTCCATCATCCAAGATGGCCCCCAGCGGGGGACTTAGTTTAACATAGGACCTATGGGAAATACATACAAATGTCTTCTTTTAGAGAACCACTGAATGGAATGGAACAAAACATGGCATGAATGTTCCTTATGAGATGCTGACCAAGTGTTGTTACATTGCAGTCGGTCCATCATCCAAGATGGCCCCCAGCGGGGGACTTAGTTTAACATAGGACCCTGTGGGAAATACATACAAATGTCTTCTTTTAGAGAACCACTGAATGGAATGAAACCAAACATGCCATTGTTCCACTACTAAATTGTCTATTCTTCTTACCAGTACACTTGGTACAATCAAAAACCTGATAATAAATTGTTCAAATAAGGCCTTCGAAAATAGTGGAATTAATTACTTTTGGAGTGTCAAGAACTCGTTGGAAGTACTTGATAAATTGCATGCATAGATTGGTGATTTTGAATCTGTTCAAAGTTTTGATTTTTCTACCCTATATACCACATTGCCTCACATTCTCATTAAGAAAAAATTCACACACCTAATTAAATGGGCATTTAAAAAGTCAGAATGTGAATATATATGTTCAAACTCTTTTAGGTCATTTTTTAGTAGCAATAAACAAAAAAACTATGTAAATTGGACATGCTTTGATACTATTTATGCCCTTGAATTTTTACTAGATAATATTTTTGTTCGCTTTGGAGATTCCGTATATTGTCAGGTTATCGGAATTCCAATGGGGACTAACTGTGCACCACTTATTGCGGACCTTTTTTTGTATTGCTATGAGTTACAATTTATGACAAAAATCAACAAAGACCCATCGAAACAACATCTGATACACAAATTCAATAATACTTTTAGCTATTTGGATGATATTTTGGCTCTCAATAATGACGACTTCAGTATGTATACTAAAGAAATTTATCCTGTTGAACTTACTTTAAATAAAGCTAATACTAACAATGACCACTGCCCTTTCCTCGATCTTGATATCTATATCATTATCGGAAAGCTTAATACTAAAATATATGATAAAAGAGATGATTTTTCATTTCCTATTGTAAATTATCCATTTTTAGATGGTGACGTTCCCTTGTCACCATCTTACGGTGTTTATATATCTCAACTTGTTCGATTCGCTAGTGTATGTAACAATGTTTTAGATTTTAACGAGAGAAATTTATGTATTACTGAAAAATTATTACACCAGGGTTTTTGATATCACAAACTAGTCAAAACATTTACTAAATTTTATCATCAGTATAAGGACATCATTCGTAAATATAGCTCAACATGCAGACTTCTTATACGTTCAGGTATTTCACATCTAATTTTTTATGGAAATATTCTTTATAAAGCACAAAAATGTCAGTATTCACCTCTGAAGCTAACAAAACCTTTAAATAGACTTATTAAGAAGGGATATAGTTACGATACTGTTGTCAGGTCATTAAAGATTGCATATTTTGGCATTAATATTGATTCACTTATAGGGTCTTTGCATCGGAACTAAACACATTTATTTAAAAACAAGTTGTTGGCATGACACGGGTTATGTTCTTCTCATATATGTTATGATGGTATGATACTAAACCCCTAACGGGAAGGATTGTGCCTGATATTCATATGATGAAGACATAATCTTTCAATCAGTTTAATTGAAGTCTGGAGCTGGCATGTCAGTTAACTGCTAGTAGTCTGTTGTTATTTATGTATTATTGTCATTTTGTTTATTTTCTTTGGTTACATCTTCTGACATCAGACTTGGACTTCTCTTGAACTGAATTTTAATGTGCGTATTGTTATGCGTTTACTTTTCTACATTGGCTAGAGGTATAGGGGGAGGGTTGAGATCTCATAAACATGTTTTACCCTGCCGCATTTTTGCGCCTGTCCCAAGTCAGGAGCCTCTAGCCTTTGTTAGTCTTGTATTATTTTTAATTTTAGTTTCTTGTGTTCAATTTGGAGTTTAGTATGGCGTTCATTATCACTGAACTAGTATATATATTTGTTTAGGGGCCAGCTGAAGGACGCCTCCGGGTGCGGGAATTTCTCGCTGCATTGAAGACCTGTTGGTGACCTCCTGCTGTTGTCTGTTCTATGGTCGGGTTGTTGTCTCTTTGACACATTCCCCATTTCCATTCTCAATTTTATTTAAAGATAGATAAAAATCATAACAGATACCCAAATAATAATGATTGAGGCCAAATTTGGATTAATATTGGTCCCGTTATTTAATAAAATATCCTGGTGGCCATCTTGAACAGTAAATCAGCAACAAAGTAGCAACACATGGTCAGCACCTCATAAGGAACATTCATGCCATGTTTGGTTTCATTCCATTCAGTGGTACTCTAAAAGAAGACATTTGTATGTATTTCCCATAGGGTCATATGTTCAACTAAGCCCCCCCCCCCCTAGCGGCCATCTTGGATGATGGATCAGCTGCAAAGTAACAACACTTGGTCTGCACCTCATAAGGAACATTCATGCCATGTTTGGTTCCATTCCATTCATTGGTTTTCTAAAAAATGACATTTGTATGTATTTCCCATAGGGTCCTATGTTAAACTAAGTCCCCTGCTGTCAGCCATCTTGGATGTAGACATACTGCAAAGTAACAACACTTGGTCAGCACCTCATAAGGAACATTCATGCCATGTTTGGTTTCATTCCATTCAGTGGTTCTCTAAAAGAAGACATTTGTATGTTTTTCCCATAGGGTCCTATGTTAAACTAAGTCCCCCGCTGGGGGCCATATTGAATATTTCCATAAAAAATTGGATGTGAAATACCTGAACGTACAAGAAGTCTGCATGTTGAGCTATATTTACGCATGATGTCCTTATACCGATGATAAGATTACATGATTTCTAAAACCAAAGGAGAGTCAGGTGAGCGACACAGGCTCTTGAGCCTCTTGTTTAAAGGAGTTATGCCCCTTGGAAATATTAAATTTACGGAAAATGGCCTTGTTAGCGCTCTCACGGGTACAATTTTAGCCAGATTTATATAAAACTTATACTATAGGTTAATATCAGTAATATCTCGGACAAGTTCTATAATGGTAGAAGATCGACTTTTTTTAAGAGAGTTATGCCCCTTGGAAATATAAAATATTGTGCAATGCGGGGACATTGGAACTCTGTTCTTTTATTACTTTTATTTTCCATATGTTGGTCAGTTTCTCAGTTACTAAGAGTAATAGTTCAAGTATCTCATTTTCATGGCGGGGCCTCGGTGGCCCAGTGGTCTAAGTAGTTACTACTATAATCACTAGCCAGACAAAACACTGAGGTTGTGAATTAGAACTCCGCTCGTGCAGGTGCACTCGACTCCAATCTTAATTGACTAGGATTGTCAGTTTTCCTATTGAAGGTCGGTGGTTTTCTCCGGGGACTCCGGCTTCCTACACCAATAAAAACTGGCCGCCACGAAATAGCCCAAAAGCGGTGCTTAAAAGTGGCCTTAAAACACCAAAAATCAATCAAATCAAATCATTTTCAGTTAAGTTTTTGTGATGAGATTAGTTTCTTAGTTTAACGAATGGGTGAACTTTATTTGATTGGTAGAATCATTATAAGGCAGAAATAACCAACTGGCAAGACTCACCTGATCTTAAAATCATTTTCATAGTTCACTGATCAATATAATACTAGTTTTTCTACCAAAGGCTAACATATTTAGTCAAGAATCATAAATTGACACAAAGGTTTCAATTGAACCCGATTGGAATTTCATGATTTCATCTTCTTCTTTAAAACTATTTGAGTGACATAATCAAACACTGCTAAATTATAATTTCAAATTTTCTCTGAAAAATCTTTGAAATTCCAGTCTGATGACAACCATAGCCACCAGAAGCAATTCCTTTTTGTTCTTTACAACAACAACAAAAAAACACAACAAAGAAAACATGAAAAAAAATCATTTAATGGGTCAAATGTTTGGAAGCTTTATTCTATTTAGAGAGTGTGTAGACTGGTAAGCTGAATATGTTATTTCTATAATCTAGTTTTCTGATGTAAAGTTACCAACAGATAAACAACTATGCAACTTTACTTGATAGATATTCAATTTTATTCTTATTTTTTCTAGCTTGTGAATTTGATGGGATAACTTGGACTTTGCCAGAAATCACCAATAGTATATTACAAGAGCACATGTACTACTCAGTGTCTTCAGACTGTCAACGAATTGATGCTTGTGTTGACTTTTCTGTAGAGGTGTTTGAACAAGTCATTACTAAAGCTTTCAATGTCTATATTGAGATAGATTTTTGTAACTTTGTGTTAAGATATGGATTTGAAGGGAAAGAAATGTCATTTATACTCATCAAGTATGATTGGGGTAAGTTTTTTTTATGGATGATGCTTCAGCATTATAGGCTTTGTTACAGAAAGTAAAACACAATGTTATTTCGATGATTATAAAAGTGTCCTCCTGACAATGCATGAAACATTTGCAACTGAACGTTAAACAACCAACAGATCTAATGTGTAAATTTCAACATTTTTTTGTCAGTATATTACAACTAACATTTCCATTCTTAAATGTCCAGATAATATCATCTGATTCATTTATCAATTAAATTAACATTATTTGGGATTATTGAATAATATTACTATTTTTGCGATTTTAGGTGGCAGATGATGATTTTTATCATACCTACTTCTTTAAAAAGATTTCTAAAGCAATGAGAAGACTAGTATAGGGAATTATTATTATACAAGCTGCATCCATTTTGACTAACAGTGATTGTTTTAAAAGTAGTCAACGTCAATGTTATAGTACTTGATAGAATGCTACTATGAATAAAGAAATATGATTTTTTTTTCATAATTCTGAGTTGATAAACAGATGGCTAACCAATAAAATCTGGTATAGTTGAATTCTTTTATAGATCACATTGAACATTATCTAATTACAGGTCAAGATGAAAGATATCCAATAACAGATGATATTCATATTTTGTAAGTTCATGATTATCTTTATTTATTATACCCCACGCAACTGTTTCTTGTCATCGCAACTCCTCTCAAACCACCCAACAGAATTTCACGAAACCTTTTTAGATAATAAGGACATACTATGTAGTTGTGCATATCAACAGGAAATTACGATTCAATTCTTTTTCTAGGAGTTACGCCCCTTTGAACTTATTTACTTCAATGTACTACTGCAACAGTTTGTCATCGCAACTCCTGTCAAACCACACAACAGAATTTCATGAAACCTTTTCAGATAATAAGGACATACTACGTAGAAGTGCATATCGACAGGAAATTATGATTCAATTTTTTTTCCAGGAGTTACGCTCCTTTGAACTTATTTGCCCAATATACTACTGCAACCTTTTGTCATCGCAACTCCTCTCAAACCACACAACAGAATTTCATGAAACTGTGTGGATAATAAGGACATACTATGTAGATGTGCATATTGACAGGAAATTATGATTCAATTTTTTTTTCTGATACAATTTTTTTTTCTTACACTTATTTTATTTCTCCAATGACAATGTGGGGACGTGGGGTATGTGAGCGCGCTCACTAAGGTTCTTTCATGTTTATACTTCAACTGTGCTATTTGCACAGTCAAATTACATTGACCATATATTTATTTGTGATATACGTTCATTGACAGCATATTGTCTTGTTTATGACATTGAAAATGCGTATTATTAATGACGTCAATAAATAATTAAGGTTTTGCAAAATTTTTATGCCGTCTGATTCAAATTCAAAATTGATGGTTTTTATTCAAAATATTTCATTTGGAATAGTCGTAAGAGTTGCAATATGAATAGCGTATCTTTACATTGTCTCTAAATATATAAAATTTATTTGTACTCGGCTTGAAACAGGAAAGAAAAGCCTCCCATTCCACCCATTTTGAAGAATTGTACCAATGAATTTAAAAAATAAAAACAATGAATATGTTTTTGTCATCTTGACAGTTTCAATGGAAAGTTTGGGGCAGAGATGTTGAAATTCATCAATCCTGACTCGCAAATTAAGACAAGGAACACCAAAAATTTGGTGTGTTTTATGATATACATAACTACGAAAAATGATGCATTAGCCAAAAGAACTGGCAACCTCAAATTAGACTTCAACAAATTTGTTGTGAATGAAATTAAGTATAAACGGGGTGGGTGGGGGTGGATCTGGTCCGATTAAAAAAATATCATGTAATAAATTAAGTTTTCAGTTAAAAGAATTTTTATATTTAGGGTATTCTTTTTTTAGTTCAATCACAGTTGAAGTTTATCCTATAAGTATAGAATTGAAAATAACTTGATGACTTTGTTGACAGGGGAAGAATAGACAAAAATGATGAAAAGAAAGTCTTTGAAGTAGATTTTGGAATGAAGTTATGTATAGAAGGTAGCTGTATTCTTGATGATATGATGTTCATTCAGGATTTGGAAATTCCAATACCAATATGCAATGAAAATTTTACATGGCCTGGTTAGTATCATAGTAAATTTATCAAGACAGTTAACAGTATAATTTTGAGCATTTATATTATAAGTTTTGACTGAGAAATGATAAAATAAATACTCGAGATCATCAAAGCAATGAACACTTTATAATTATGACTGATAAAAACTAGTAAAATTTGAAGGATTTCAAAAATGTGCATTATTCATGAATTTTTATTTGTTTCCTCATTTGGAGATATATTCATATATAAGTATGACTTGATGATTAAGTTTTTTTTTTAAACTTTGAGGTGGGGATTCAATTTCTGATATGGTGGAGGCTATTGGTGGAAGTCTTACTAAAGGAGCTTTTAATATTATTTTAAGGAAATTAGGAATTGAGGTTAGTATACTAAAAGTATGAAAACTTCAGTTTTACATGCATTAAAATTGTTAAGGATTTGCATATAGGACACTAACTTGCATAAGAAATAGAAAAAAAGTTTGTCAAAGTAACAGCACTGTTATGCCTCATAAAACAAAGTTCAAGAAGTATTTTTTTGGAATTATTTTTCATCTTTTTGTGTTGTCTCATTCTTGTGTGATTTTTTTTTTTAATTTAGAATTTGTAAAGGTTTTTCCATCCAGATTTTGACAACTTCAAACCAATTCTTGGGAACGAGGACTTTAAAGGAGAATATCTATTTGTTTTGAATTATAGATATTGATAAACTATATGTACATAATTTTAACTTTGATTTTAGGATATTTTTACAAACACCTGTCAACTATTGGAATCTGGAAAAGGTATGCAATATTTTAAATTTCTGGTGAAGAGTTGAAAAGTAAACTCCATCAATGTGTTAGTGAATTTCAACACAACAAAGTTCAGGGGATTGGACTATTAGAGTAGCATTGGCATCCATTTACAAGGGCATATTAAATATGGCCACAGATTTGAAATGGTATATTGTCATATTATTTAGGTCTACACATTAATCTTACAGGTTCTACAATTAGCTATAAAGTTGAGATATATCTACTTATAATTTTTTCTTGCTGAGTTGACATTGAATTCATGCAGTCATATTAAATTTTCAAACCTTGTTGTGACTCGGTCATTGAAATTTGCATGTGGCAGATTCCTATCAAAAGTAGGTTATGTTGAGCTATATTCTATACTTCATTAACTTATGATATATTTTACTTTCTTGTTGAACTACTTATAATTAATGATGATTTTTACCAAAAAGTGACCATTGTTGAAGATCCAGGTGATTTAGAAATATGAAGATTATTGCTTTTTATTGCAGAGTGTTCTACCACATTACAAATACCAAATTCATTGGGAGACATAGTTCAGTGTGAATTAACAGACAGTTGTTTAGGACTCAGTTGCTGTTTAGGACTGAATTTCAAGTTGCCTTTTAATGGAGATGATGTTGCATACAATATTCCGTTTGGATTTAATTTAAGCCCTTGTGATTTTGAAATTGAAATAAGTTTTGGATCATATTACCAAAAGATGGTTTTACTTGAGTATGACTGGGGTAAGTTATGTCGTACATAGATTAGATTAACTTTTCATATGTATACAAGGAGAAATTCATTGGGGTTTTCATTATCATACTCAACTGGTATGAAAACAAACATTATTACATAAGAACAAAAATATATTTCAAACACTCAAACATGCCAAAGATTATCAGGTTTTTTAAAAAGTTTCCATCATGAGGTATAAATAAATTGTATAAAAAATGTTATCAAAACAAATATTCAATTTCAGTTATTCAGGTATTCTTGTCTTTCATGTTTGCTCGTGTACTTTCTCTATAGTGTGTCTATATGTCATTTTTGTTTTTCTTTGTTGAAATGGTTATTTGTTTTTATGGTGATTGAGATTGTAACATGGTGTTGACTGCTGTATCCCAATTTTTGACATTTTTGCCTATTGTGTCTGTTTGTTTTGCTCACAAATTGTTGTCAATATGGTGGAATTTTATGCGAATGTGGTACAGGTGAGAGGTTTGGCTGGCTGTAGGGCCTGGTTTGATCAACATTTTCTACATAAGAAATGCTTATACCAAGTCAGGAATATGATAGTTGTTTTCTATTTGTTTGATGTGTTTGAGTTTTTGATTTTGCCATTCGATAAAGGCCTTTCCATTTCAAATTTTCCTAGGAGGTCGGTTTTTGTAAATTTCCTTTTTTTAATTTAAAGGGATATATATCAAGCCCTAAAATGTATCTTGTTCTTTCTGAATTTACAGGGTACTTGTATATACATTGTACCTGTATATATATATATATATATATGTTGAAAAATGTCTTTTAAGTATCTTGTTATATCACTACAACTTATTTGATACAAGAACTGCTTTGAATGTGAAACTTGTCATTTATATTTGAATATAGGTATAGAAAATAAGATGGAAATAGGAAATGGGGATGCTGCTCCTATTACCATAAGGTAAGATTATTTCAAACAAAGGAAAAGTAAGTTGACTTTTACATATAGCTATGATAAAGGGTATGTATTACAATATAAACAGTTTTTTTTTCATTGCAGAATGAAATTCAAAAGTTGGGTGATGGTGCCTTTTTATTTTGACTTAAAGTGAAATAAGGAGATGGGGTATGATTGCCAATGAGACAACTATCCAACAAAGTCCAAATAACATGGATTTAAACAAACATAGTTCATCATAATGCCTTCTAATATGAGCAAAACCCATACCGTATACTGTCTTTAGGTGTGTATAAAACGCACTCATGCATAGTATGTACCCCCTTTTTCACCCTTGAAATATGCTTTACACGCAGGGACTTCCTGGAAAAATCCCAACTTGAAACTCGGTTAAATGCGTCCATTGAAAATGATTTTTTTGGGGGAGACAAATTGTTGAAATCCAGTTCTGGTTGATTACAGGATCATGAAACTATTGTTGCAGAATAAATAATTTAGCAAACGATGTCTGATTCTTTATTGTTTCCACGAATGTGTTTGATTGATTTATCATGTAACTGGTTTAAATCATATCTATCTCATAGATTCCAACAAGTTGAAAATGGGACAATCAAGTCAAGGGCACTAGAAATAAAATCTGGAGTACCTCAGGGCTCCATATTAGGCCCCCTTTTATTTTTATTGTTCATTAATGATTTGCCCCTTCATATAAACTCATCTCAAGCAGACCTCTATGCCGATGATACTACCATTCACTGCACAGGTCGTAGTCTCAATACCATCCAGGACAGCATTACAAATGATTTAGACAGAATTGAAGAATGATGCAAGGGAAATAAGATGTATATAAATCCAACAAAAACTACATCTATGGTTATTGGTTCTAGACAGAAACTAGTAAAAACAGACCATGTTCTTAATTTGACTGTTGGTAACTCCCACATTAGAGATGTTAATGGCGAAAAGCCCCTAGGGGTTTTTATTGATGAAAATCTTGAGTGGACAGCCCAAATTAACACTTTGTGCACAAAAATCAGTACCAGGCTAAATCTTTTGTCTAGGATAAAGAAATCCCTCCCCCTGGAAACACGAAAGTTATACTTTAATGGTTATATTCTCCCTATTTTGGATTACTGTTGTACAATTTGGGGAAACACCAGTGACCAAAATACAAATAGATTAGATAAACTTCAAAAACGAGCAGCTAGAATTATTCTTGAACTTCCTTATGATACCCCATCTAATACAATGTTTAAAAAGTTATCATGGCTTCGATTTACTGATCGTGTAATTTACCACAAGGCCTTATATGTTCATAAATGTTTATATGGATCTGTCCCAGAATATTTGTCTAACAAAATCTCCTATGTTACAAATAAAAATGGAATGCAACTTAGATCAAATACTACCCAATTACTTAATATACCAAAGGCAAGAACAAACACATTTAGAAGATCTTTTTCATATTCTGGCCCAACTTTATGGAATAAACTACCAGAAGCACTAAGACACATGTCAAACATAAATACTTTTAAAACAAACTGCTTTAAGTTTTTACTTGAAAATCCAGGAATTATTTAAATGATTATGTATCAATTTTGATTATGTTTTCTTATGTTTATCTTTTTTATGAAGAAATTGTGTGATGCATTGTGAGTGGAGTGTGAGGGCCTCAAGGGAGAATAGTCTTTGTACTAATTGAGCATACCCTCTTGAAATAAAGATTATTATTATTATTATTATTATTATTGAGAACAACAGGAAGTGTTAAATCGGGAAGTTGTTTAAATGCAAATAGTAGTCTCTTGTGAATCTTGTACATAATACAGAATCATTACGAATATTCTTCAATACACAATAAATAAATGAATTGTAATACTTTATGTTGATAAATTAGTGCTGAAATAAATATTAATCTCTGCAAATTTTATTTATTGTTTGTTGGTACTCATTAAATCGTATAATCCGGATTATCACACACTTATTGAATGTCAATTAGGTAGTCCAATCATTGTCAAAACAAATCAATTGACAGATTAATTTTGTTCCTTAATCTAATCTGTACAGTTGACAAGATGACATTGAAATGTCTGCAATTATGATGCGTATGAAATTTTTTTAAAAAGATGGTTACAAAGTGAAAAAGTGTTTAAAATCATCCTTTTATTCAACTTTACAACTGTTAAAAGTCACATGACACATGATCACCTGATACTACGAGTAAAAAAGTAAAAAAATAATGGTGGTCGCTATCATCAAATAGGCGGGTTTCATTCAATTTTCATACATTTACCTTCTGTATTCCTTGTTAGAACACATATACAAAGTATGTAATAAATACGAGAAACACCTATACTAATTTGGCCATTGACAGAATTCTTCATCTCTAATTTGGACATGATCAAATGCAACACAAGAAAAAGAAAACAACAACTACTAAAGCATTTAAATGATTTTTATTATACAACGCAAAAAATTTGCGTTTGTATAATGCTATCATGTCATCATCGGCGTCGTTGGCGGCGTCATCGTTGTCGTCCGAAGACACATTTGGTTTCTGGACTATAACTTTAGTTTTTAAGTAAATGGATCTCTATGAAATTTTACCAGAAGGTTCAATACCACAAAAGGAAGGTTGGGATTGATTTTGGGGGTTATGGTACTAACAGTTTAGGAAAAAGGGGCCAAAAACAAGCATTTTTGTAGTTTCAGGACAATAACTTGTGTGTATGTGTATGAATCTCTCTGAAATTGTACCACAAGGTTCCATATCACAAAGGGAAGGCTGGAATTGAGTTTAGGGGTAATTGCCCCAAATGTTCAGGAATTAGGGGCAAAAAGGGGCCAAAAACAAGCATTTTTCTAGTTTCCAGACAATAACTTGTGTTTAAGTGTATGGATCTCTCTGAAATTGTACTACAAGGTTCCATACCACAAAGGAAAGGCTGGGATTGAGTTTGGGGGTAATTGCCCCAAATGATTAGAAATTAGGGTAAAAAAAGTGGCCAAAAACAAGCATTTTTCTAGTTTCCAGACAAAAACTTGTGTTAAAGTTTATGGAACTCTCTAAAATTGTACATTTTTCCTGAGAAGAAAATAATCTTCAAAATCTCAAAAAAAATTTAGGGAGGGGGGTTTCAAATTTTCTTTGGGGATTCATATCTTTTTTCTTCAAAATTATTTGTGGGAATTTTTTTTCCCAAAAATTTTCCATTTGTACATTGATTATTTCTGATTTATATAAAAAAAAGCAACAAATACTGATATGGCAGGAGATACACACCAAACAGGGTGTGTAAATTATTACATATAACTGATTAACTTAAGTATTGTGCAATCTTCAATTGAAAATAAATACAAATCTTTTAACCAATTTCAATTTTTAGGGATTCTAACTTTGTATTACTATTTTGGATATTGGGTCCCATTTTTGAATTGGTCTACATTGATGTCCAAAATTGAAAATTGTTTGATTTCATCAAAAACTGAATTATTGCGGCTCTATGATATGCTGAATCTTATTGTGCATTTAGATTTTTTATTTTTGGCCCTTTTTTCAAATTAGTCCATATTAAGGTTTGAAGGGTCCAAAATTAAACTTTGTTTGATTTCAACTAAAATTAAATTTTTGGTGTTTTTTTATATGCTGAATTTAACCATGTTGTTAGATTTGGATATCAGACCATACTAGGTAAATTAAATGTCACATTTCAAATTTTTAAGATCTTTGACCACATTTATTTTGTGTCAGAAACCTATATTATGTCAAAAATTTGATCACAATCCAAATTCAGACAATATCAATCTTGAATATTGTGTCCAAACTTGCCCCAATGGTTCAAGATTCGATCTCTACGGTCGTATCAGGCTGTGCTCGACGAAGCATTTTATTTGCATATAACATTACAAATCAGATACAAGAAGGTACAAATATACATGTAAAACATAACAACAATCAAGTTTATGCTACAAAAATATTTTGCACCCCCTTTTCAGAAATCATTCCCAGGGTGAAAACCAACGTACTATACTCACCTAAAAACGGTAGTCAGCTATAAAAGGCCAGGACATGACAAA